TCCGAGAGAGCAGATGCAGGTGGGGGAATGGCGCTTGCCATGCGCGCGCGCCGCTGGCCCTGGTTCCGTCCCCAGAACCGCTGAGGCCTCCCCCAAGGTTCTGCAGAAACCAGCTAGTGACAGTACAGCGGGGAGGGCACCCCCATATGCCCGCCCTCCGCAGCCCGCCTCACGCTGGCCGGGGGGGGGGTGTCTGTGCCCCCACAGTCCTACACGACCTACGGCCTGGAGCTGACGCGCGTCACCGTGGTGGACACCGACATGCAGGTGGTGTACGACACCTTCGTCAGGCCCGACAACGAGATTGTGGACTACAACACGCGGTGGGTGTGCGCATGCGCGCAGGTACCCCGCCCCCCCCCTCCATCACACCCCACCCCGCCCCACCCCGCTAAGGCCTGCGCCCCACCCCCGCCGCCCTGCAGGTTCTCGGGGGTGACGGAGGCCGACCTCGCCGACACGAGCACCTCGCTCCGCGACGTGCAGGCCGTCCTGCTCAGCATGTTCAGCTCCGATACCATCCTCATCGGACACAGCCTGGAGAGTGACCTGCTGGCCTTAAAGGTGTGTCCCCCGCTGGAGCAGTGTAGCCCAGCGGGGAGGGCGTTTGCCTTGCACGCGGCTGACCCAGGTTCGATTCCCCGCACCGCCAGGAGTAATTCCTGAGTGCAGAGCCAGGAGTAACCCCTGTGCATCACCCAGTGTGACTCAAAAAGCAAAAAAAAAAAATAGGCGTGCCCCTGAGCCCTGGCCCTGCGGGCTGACCCCCCACGGCCCTTGCAGGTCATCCATAGCACCGTGGTGGACACGTCCGTGCTCTTCCCACACCGCCTGGGCCTCCCCTACAAGCGCTCACTGCGGAATCTTATGGCTGACTACCTCAAACAGATTATCCAGGACAATGGTGAGCGCCAGCTGGGGGGCCGGGAGGGGGGCCGAGGCGGTGTCCCGGGGTGGCGGGACCCCGGGGGAGCTCGGGCCTGACCATGTCTCTCCCCGCCGCAGTGGACGGGCACAGTTCCAGCGAGGATGCCAGCGCCTGCATGCACCTGGTGGTCTGGAAGATCCGCGAAGACGCCAAGACCAAGCGGTGACCCCCCCCTGCGCCGCCCTACTCCCCACCCGCCACCCTGCCCGCCCGCCCGCCCCCAAAACAGTGCAATAAATCTCGAGAGCTAGCCCTGTCCGCGTCGCCCCGCAGGACACGGGGCCGAGAGCACAGGACGAGCAGGCACCACCCGCACCCCACCCCGAGACTCCTGCTGACCCCCCCACCACCCGCCCCCCAGCAGCGCGGCCGCCGGCCTTTCTCTGTGGTGGTACGGGGGGCGTGCATCAGAGGTGGGGGGCTTGGAGACGGGGGCCCTCTTTCATTCTTTTGTATTGTTCTTTTTATTATTTTTAATTTAAACCTGATAACTTGCTAAGTTGTCTTCCCCTTCCTCCTCCGTGGCAGCAGACCCTAGTTCTGTGTCGTGTCCGCGCCCCCCCCCTCATTCCCACAACGACCGTGGGGGATGGGAGTCACCCAGAATCCCCCCTTAGTAGTTCTAGCCCCGCCTAGATGTGGGCCGTGGGAGCCGGCCGCCTCCGCTCCTCAGGTGAGCCAAGGCCCCCCCACCCTGGCCCCTTCCCTCCCTGGCAGGGACCGAATAAATGTTTGTATGAATTTTACATCTGGCTCCTGGCTCTGGGTTCTTTTCGGTTGCGGGGGTGGGGGGCTCCCTCCTGCTTCTGCTAGGGGGATCTACACAGTGCCGGGGCCGGAACCCAGGTCAGCTGCTCTGAGGTCAGCGCTGTCCACTCGGATGGCTCTTGGCCCCAGTTTCAGGTTCTGGTGATGTGTCCAGGTCGCCTCTTGAGGTCACCCCGACTGGACCTGGGGGGCAGCTGCCCCAGTGACTCCTCACCCAGAGCCTTGAGAGACTTGATGTTCCCAGGCGGATCCAGAACCTTGTGTAGCTTTGAAGTGGGCGCTTGTCCGGCCCGCGCATGGCTGGCCTGGAGTGCCTCAGGGGTTGCTGTGGCACATGGGGCCTGCGGGTCTTTAATGCAAGTCCAGACACACACACACACACACACACACACACACACACACACACGTTTCTGTGTGTATGTGGCGCCTGCCCTCTCAACAGCACCCCCAGTGTCCAAACACAGGAACTGCAGTACCCACCGTCCCTCTGCTCCAGCCTCCAGAGTAGCCCCAATGACCCTGTTTTCTGCAAGCCTGGCCGCCCCCTTCTACCCGGTCTCTGATCTGCAAAGCCGCACCTCACAGCCCCCTCTCCCCCTCACCCCCCGCAGCCCCTAAATCGAACCCCTGTCCAGGCCCCGCCCGCACCCCAACCCGCCGAGGCCCTGCTCCAGGCCGGTTCCGTTCTGAAAACCAAACTGAGGCCTTGATCTCTTCTTTGGAGCCTGGGTTGGACCCAGATCCTCAGACTTGCAAAGTCACGTGTTCTGCCGCTGGGGCTACAGCCCCGGCCCCAGGGCCTCGCTTTCTGACCAGCTCCCTCAGCGCTGGCCAGCCTCAGTTCTGAGCCTCAGCAAGACTGGACTCGCCCGGACAGTGCTCCACACGCCGTCCGGCCCGGCCACCGCGCCCTTCCCTATCCTGCTTTGAACAGGCCCCTCAACCCAGCTGTGTCCTGGCCCCGCCCCCTGTGCAGTCCATCAGTCCATCTGCCCTGGCCCCGCCCCACGGTCCAGCTCTTTGGCTTCAGCCCTTGCGCTAGACCCCTTGTCCCATTCCGCTTTCTTGCTCCCGCCCCTTCGCGCCCCTCCCTCTAACCACGCCCCCTCTCGGGCCACCTTCGGCCCTGACCCCGCCCCTTCCATTCTCTCTGGCCACGCCCCTAGACACGCCCCTCCGCCCCTAGACCCCGCCTCTCCGTTCAGATTCTGCCCTGATCCCCGCCCCTTCCGCCGTCCATCATCATGGCCCCGCCCCCTTTCCTAGAGCCCCCTCCCCTAGGTCCACCTTCTGCTCTGGCCCCGCCCCCTGCCATCCTTTCTGGCCCGGCCCCTTCTCTGCCCTAAACCCCGCCCCTCGGTCCACATTCTGCTCCGATTCGCCACTCCCTATGTCCATCATTAGAACCCCGCCCTCTTTCCCAGGCCCCCCTCCACAGACCCCGCCTGTCGGGCAGGTTCTAGCCCCGCCCCCCAGACCTGGGCTCCGCCCCAAGCCCCGCGCCCGTGCTGCCCGTTTCGATCCCGTTTTAGACCCGTTGGCACCGGGCTTGCCGCTTTTCCACCAGGTCCGCCTCCCTGGCGACCAGCCCGCAGCCTGACCCCGCTCCGCCGGCCCCGCGCAGGTGAGCGGCTGCGTGCTGGGGCTGTGTGTCCCCGGGCACCCGCGCCCCCTCTCTGGGCCGCGCCCCTGGGCGGAAGGGCTCCACGCTGGCGGAGGGGCCGCCCCTGGAAGTTCTCGATGCGGGGGTCGGGGCTCCTGCCGGTTGGCATTGGCTGTGGCTCGCGTGAGCTGGGTTTATAAGAGAGGAGGAGGCTCGCATAGGGAGCGTCCTCCTGCACCACCGGAAAAAAAAGTAGGATGCATTTAGACCATCGCTGCGTCCCCACCTCGAGCCCCGCTGCATCACCCCCTGCAACCTCCCGCCTCACTTTTGCCAACTGGAGAATGGGCACGGGCCCCGCTCAGGCTCCTGGGAGCTGCCGCGCTGGCGGGAAGCCAGGCCGTGGCCCCCGGGGACCCGGATGCCTCAGGCAGGCCTGATGAAGAACAGCTTCCAGGGAGCAGCTAGCCCAGCCCGGGGAAAGGCGCGCGAGAGAGACAGGGTGATGGAAACAGAGATGGGGGGCGCCCCTGGCAGGGGGGAGGCTCGGGGGCGACACCCCAGGAAGTCTGGGCGCTCTGACAAGTATAAGGTGCGACCAGAACGGTGAGGAAAGGCTGGCCAGGCCCGCGGGGGGTGGGCGCGGGAGGGGGCGGCGAGGGGCGGGGGTTGAATGGGGGGCACCGGAGCTGGGGAGGGGGCGCTGGAGGGATGTGCAGCAGGAATGTTTGCAGGGCTTGCGTCAGCCTCTGCCTGGCCCCCCACTTCAGCGCCTCGAGCAAGAAGCCCGGGCTGCCCGGGACTCCCCGGGAGGTCCAGTATCTGGGCTCCATCTCCCCGCCCCTTCTGGGGGGAACTATTAAGTGGACTCTCCACTGAAGCCCGCACTGCAGACCTGGGGTCAGAGCAGAGCCTGGGGCAAACCCGGACTGAGTCTCACTGGGTCTCACCAGGTAGGGGAAACTAGGAGGAAGTGTGGAGGTCCCCTGATGCTGAGAGGACAGATGGGGGGCCTTGGGGGGTCACTGGGGGGCTGGGAGCAACAGGTGGAGGGCGGAAGTAGCATTTGATTGAAATGGATATGTATTGGTGGTTATTGTTTGGGGCTTTCGGGGCCAGGTTCGAGTCCGGGGGTCACTCCTGGCAGGGCTCAGAGAACCCTGTGGGGTGCCCGGGAATCAAACCCGCCTCGGCCACATGCAAAGCGAGTGTCCTGCCTGCTGTCTTGTCACTCGAGCCCCAAGTTTGATTTAAGTTTTTAATTTTTTTTTAAAATTTTTTTTAATTTTTGGGTCACACCTGGTTTGCACAGGGGTTACTCCTGGCCCTGCACTAAGGAATTACTTTTGGCAATGCTCAGGGGACCATATGGGATGCTGGGATTCGAACCCGGGTTGGCTCGGTGCAAGGCAGATGCCTTACCTGCTGTGCTATCGCTCCAGCCCCAAGTTTGATTTAAGTTTTGGGGAGCCTCTCCAGCAGGGCAGGGGCCCCGGAGGCAACCTCACAGCAGTTGTGCATACCCATAGACCCAAAGCTCAGAGCTTCCATCCAGGGATGCCCGGGGCCCAGCAGTGTTGAGGATTAAACTCGGGGCCTCATACCTGCAAATCTTCCCGTCGGGTCCTTTGAACCCTCTCCTCGGCCCCACCCCCCCCCGCCCACCCTGAGGTGACATCGCAGAGAAGGACTAAGGTCACTATGTCCCTCGCCTACCCCGCTCTCTTCAGCCGGATCAACATGAGCAGTTTGGCGTTCCAAGAAGAGTTTGAAGAGGACAAGAACTCAGGTACTATGGGCTGGAGCGATAATACAGCACGTAGGGCGTTTGCCTTGCACATGGCCGAACCGGGTTCGATTCCCAGCATCCCATATGGTCCCCTGAGCACCGCCAGGGGTAATTCCTGAGTGCATGAGCCAGGAGGAAACCCTGTGCATTGCCGGGTGTGACCCAAAAAGCAAAAAAAAAAAAAAAAAGAACTCAGGCACTAACCCTGGGGACCCGCCAGGGTGCAGAGGGGCCTTACAGAAGTTGAAGGGGGGGGGGGGGCTGGAGAGATGGGACAGTGGGGAGGGCACTTGTCGTGCACGTGTTCAACCTAGGTTTGATCCCTGGAACCCTGGAGAGTTCCCTGAGCACAGCCAGGAGGGAACCCTGAGTGCCAAGCCAGGAATCAGCCTGAGCACAGAGCCAGGAGTCAGCCCTGAGCACAGAGCCAGGAGTCAGCCCTGAGCACGGAGCCAGGAGTCAGGCCTGAGCACAGAGTCAGGAGTCAGCCCTGAGCAAGGAGCCAGGAGTCAGCCCTGAGCAAGGAGCCAGGAGTCAGCCCTGAGCACTACCAGCTGTAGCCTCCAAACCCACAACATAACTTCCCCCCAAAATAATAAGCAACTGCTGAGATCGGGGGTGATTGGGATCCCCACGAATGTCCCACCGTTCCAGCAGTGGTTCCCGATAGGTTATCAGTAGCCCTTTAGTAAAGCTTGAACAGGAACCTGGACTCTGAATTGGGGGGGTTTGGGCTCTGAAATACTGACACTGCCCAGTCTGGCCCTGGGGGGACCCCCACCTTGTCCCTCTGTGGAAACAAGGCACAGGCGAGGGTGGCTGGCTCGGGAGGGACCCCCACGCGCCTCCTGTGTGTGCGGCCACGGGGTGCTGCTGTTTGTTTACAGGGCTCCTTTGCCGGGGAGCCTGGGGCCCCGTTAGTCAGCCCCTGGGGCCTTGTTAGGCGGTGTTTGCTCTCCGGCCGGATGCCCCAACTCGGTCTGTCTGCCGCAGCGTTCACCTGGGAAGTGAAGGCTAACAACCGCGCCTACAACAGCCAGTTCAAGGAGAAAGTCTTCCTGTGTTGGCAGCGGCAGAAATACAAGGTAGGGGGCTGCAGCTATCAATAGCACAGCCGGGAGGGCGTTTGCCTGCACGCGGCCGACCCGGGTTCGATCCCCGGCATCCCATAGGGTCCCCCAAGCACCGCCAGGAATAATTCCTGAGTGCAGAGCGCCAGAAGTGACCCCTGAGCATCGCCAGGTGTGACCCAAAAAGCAAAAAAAAAAAAAAGAGAAAGAAAGAAATACAAGGTAGGCCGACCGCCCACCACCCACCTCTGGTCCAGAGGAGTCTGAGGGGGCCTCTCGCCTCTGCCGCCTCCACGAACGTCATTGGCACCCGTGCCAGCCTGCACGCACCCTACCCTGTGGCCTCTGCTCCAGCCCCGTCCCCAGTCAAATGAATTAGGCTGCAACGTTATCAATTCAGTCTGCCCAGTTCCCGTCGGAACTCCCAGCTTGGTCCCGTGGGTCTTCCCGTGGCGTAGCCGCGGTGAGGTCTTGCATTCAGCAAGCACTCAATAAATCCTGAGAAGGCCTCGCATTCAGCAGGCGCTCAATATATGCTGATGAGGCCTTGTATTCAGCAGGCACTTAGGACGTGCCGGGGAGGGCCTGCATTCAGCAGGTGCTCCATAAATGCACACCTGAGACACCTTGCATTCTGCAGAGCCTCTATCAATTCCAATCAAGGTTTGCCTTTGGGTTTTAGACTCAGAAGCAAGTCAGTCAACCCCGGGTCTTTCTTCACGGGGTACCCTCCCCCCCGCAGCTCCTCTCAGCAGGGTCCCACTTCCAGGACCCACGAATCGCCCCTGAGCACCCCAGGGTGTGGCCCCAGCCCCCTTTCCCACAGGGAAGGGGGCGTTCAGCCAGCGCCCCTTGAGCCCTCCGGCCCCCTCGTTCCAGACCAACGTCATCCACACGGCCAAGTACAACGTTTTCTCCTTCCTGCCTCTGAACCTGTTTGAGCAGTTCCAGCGCCTGTCCAACCTCTACTTCCTGTTCATCATCATCCTCCAGGTGAGTACCCCGTGCCCCCGACTCCCCCTCCTGGAGCCCCAGGTGTCCCCCCCATCCTCCCAGCTGACACAGTTCCCCTGCCTAGATGAACAACTGGAGAACTGGAGTTCGGCAGGTGGGGGTGTGTGCCCAGTGTGTTGAGTGAGAAAGGGGCACGTGGGTGGGGTTCCGCCGGGCCCAGGGGGTCACAGCCCTTTTGGGGGGCCAGTCAAGGCCCTCAACTTACCCCACAAGCCAAGGAAGGAGACATGGGGTGTAGAGCAGATTTGGGGGACCCGTGTTCCCCTTCCCAATGCCTGAGTGACCAACCTCCCTTCCTCCCTCAACAGGTGGGGAGGTTCTAGAAACATCCCCCCCCCCCGCCACACACACACACACACACACAGACAACTCATTTCAGTCCCATGGAGAGAGAGTCACTACTTTTTTGTTTTGTTTGGGGCCACACCCAGCAGTGCTCAGGGCTTCCTCCTCCTGACTCAGTGCTCAGGGATCACTCCCCGGGGGGTGGGGGGGTGGTCAGGGCATCGAACCCAGGTCAGCGGCGTGCAAGGTCAGCGCCCTCCCTACTGTACTATCTCTCCAGCTCCAGAAAGGTGTGGCTTTTATCCAGGGAGCCAGGCAGCGTTTATTGAGGACCTACTTATGCCGTGATCCGGCAGCTCTAGGGTTGGTGGAGGTGGCTGTCAGGAAACCATGTGTGGGGGGGGGGGGCATGGCCCAAAACAAGAAGGGGGTGGTGGAAGAAAGAAGCTGGGAGGGCTTCCTGGAGGTGGCGTCAAGGAAGCTGGCATAGTGTGCTGACAGCGAGTGACAGGGAGCTGTGACCTGGCAAGAGGGCCACTGGCAGGTGGGACGCAAAACACTGTGTCCTGGGGTGGGGTGGGTGCCCCTGGCTTAGGTCCTAACCCACCCCCACCCCCTCCCCCGCTGCACCAGTCCTTTCCAGAAATTTCCACGCTGCCTTGGTTCACACTCTTCATCCCACTTGTTCTCCTCCTCCTCCTCCGAGCTGCCAGGGACCTGGTGGATGACATCGTAAGTGGGGTCCGGGGTGGGGGAAGGGTGATAGGGGGGTGTTCTTCCAGAGACCCCACGGCAGAGGGGAGAGGAGTGGGTCACATCGGCTGGCACATGGACCCCCTCCTTTCTCGGCCAGTCCCACCAGATGGTTCCCCCCTACCCCCAAGCCCTGGGCACGTGCAGGTGCTCGCCCCCAAGCCACGCCCCCCACCCAGCCTGGTAGAGGGGGTCCACGCAGGGGTGCGTGCCGCCTCTCTGACTCGGACCCCGTCCACCCAGAGGAGGCACAAGAGCGACAAGATCATCAACAAAAGGCCCTGCAAGGTCCTGATGGGGAAGAGGTGAGCGCGGGAGCCCCCCCCGCCCCCCGGAGCGCTCGCTTTGCAGGCCGTTGACCCGGGTTCGACTCCCCGGCCGCCCACAGCGTCCCCCAGCAGCATCGGGAGTGCTCCCTGAGTGCAGAGTCAGGAGTCAACACCCCCTCCCCCCCCAAAGAATTAATGATATTGAGCCGTGCTGATTTGGTAGCCGCCTTCCCCTGGGGCTGGGGCTGAAGCTGGAGGGTGGGCAGGCGCCCCCTCATGCCCCCTTCTCGCCAAGACTGAGCTCCCCCAGTCCCGTTTCTCGCATCACACCCACAGCCTTGGGGGAGGGGAACCCCTTTTCCCCCCCACCCCCTCCGTTGAGGGGCGGGGGGCGCGGCGGGTTCAGGCGCCCGGTGCTCAGGAGCGACCTCTGGCGGCGCGGTGGGGGAACTGTCCGGGAGGGGAAAAAAAAAAGCGGTTTGGGGGCGGCACCCCGCAGCCCCCCCTCCCCATTCCCGAGCTCTCTTCCCCGGGTCCGCAGGTTCATCTGGAGAAGGTGGGAGGACATCTGTGTGGGGGACGTGATCTGCCTGCAGAAAGATAGCATCGTCCCGGTGGGTTCGCGGGCCTGGGGGCGGGGGGCAGCCCCGGGCGGGGCGGGTGGGTGTGGGGGACCCCCGCAGCGACCGTGCCCGCCCCTCGCCCCGCCCCGCCCAGGCCGACCTGCTGCTTCTGAGCAGCTCCGAGCCCAGCAGCCTGTGCTATGTGGAGACGGCAGACATCGACGGGTGAGCACGGACCCCCGAGAGAGACCCCCGAGGGCGGGCGGGGCCCACCCCACGCCTCTGCTCCTGGCCTTTGGCCCAGGGCCGCAGGACAAGGACAGCGGGTGGACGCTTATGATCCCTGAGCGTAGAGTCAGCCGAGTCAGCCC